TAATCAATTTATTTACTTTTATCCTGCTACATAAAAATAATAGTGTAATATGAAGAATGTACTAAATAAGTAAGTATCACTAAAGAATATTTACCAAATAATTTGTATATAATAGGTACAAATTGTTGTATTTCAATTTTAGTTGGTTGATAATACATAGATAGGCAATACTTACATAAATACACTCAAACTGAACATAATATGTACATCTACTGAATTAATGAGGAATATTTTAAGTGTGCCAAATCATTCGGATATGAGATCATCCAGAATTTCATTTGTTGTGCGTTCTAGACCGTTCAAAATATCTGATATATCGAAATTTTCCGATTTATCAGATTTCCGGATTTGATTTGGTGTTCTTTGAATTTCAGTTATTTTTAATTATATTAATGGAATCGAATCAACCAAATATATTACGGAAGTTTCTAATTGAGTAATAGATGTTGCTAAGATAAAATTTGTCTTAATATCTACTAAATTATTTTTAAAATTTACTTTAGAAAATAAATGCTGAGCTTAGGCAGCTGCAACTACCTTTTCTGCGTCTAGATCAGCAATAATTATTTAAATAAGTTCAAAATGTTCACAATAGTGCATAGAAGCTTTATTTCAAATGCCCCAACATGTTAATACAGGCCTCTGTAGTGAGATATCCATATCTAATGCTATTATTTTAAATATTCGGATTTACGATGGTGCTTCCAAAAATACCTCTTTTACGTTATTTATCAACATCTGGGAAATGTTTTCTTATTATTTCGGCAACTCTATGCAAGGCGTGCGCCAGGCATGTAACATTTTAACATGTATCATTTTAGAATAGAAGGTTTGAATAGATGTGCCTGATTTTACCATATAGATTATTCTTGAGGCCATAACATTGATAAAGACTTATCGAAAACTTTTGCAACTCTGATGTGTTTGGTTTTTTCTTATACTTCCGAGTTTAATAAACATATTACCTATGTTGCCTATTTCTAATGTGCCTACTTATTATAAAATTTGCAATATAACGACCATTGTCATCCGTCGATTCATTGATAGAAACCCATATATTTTATTTTATACGTATACGTATCATTTTAAATTCTGAGTGTAGCAAAGAATGTATTGATTTTAAAAAAATGTTTTTTCTTTACTGTGTACAAAAATTCTACCAGAAATCGTCTTCTGATATATATGCGCGGCGCTATAACTGAAAGAGAATATTGTCCAGAATATACTTTTGGGAGGTCATTTTTGATTTTCCAAGCGGTTTTCATAATATCTGGGAAAAACCAGGATAAAATGTAATAAAAACGGGAAATTTGCAAAAATAATACTTTTATTATTTTTAAATTTTGTTACTCGTTGTAATTCAATTTAAAATATTCGATGAGACTTGAATTTTGAACAGAAAACTTATATATTCTTTTTCTAAACGTGGTAAAATATTCAAAAAATTTAAGCCATTTTTGAGCTATTTATAGACATTTTAATTTTGCGAGTTTTGTACGTAATTTTTATTTGGTTGGTACTCTGTGGTAAAATTGTTAGACTTAACAGAAATTCTTGAAAATTTAACAGGAGGTTCATTGTGTCTTACTTTGAGGTCAAAAAAAAAATTTAATTTAATTTAGTATTTTTTTTTTATAAAGGAATTATAATATCAAATTTTGACGAAAATCTTTAGAGTAAAAAATGATATGGAACAAATCTAATTTTTCTATTTTTTGTTTTAAAAATATGTATATTACGATTTATAAAAAATGGTGATATAAAAATTGAGCGGACTGATGTTGTGACCGCAGTTAAATCCGATAGCCACGGATTCATTGGATTAGTCATATCTTGGGTTGAGTTGTCGGTGAGCTGTCACGAGCCGTCAGCTGATTGTTGTTATCATGTTTTACCCCGGATTTGGGTACTTAGATATGTATTCTAAATACGTTATTCCAAGAGTAGTAAGTGTATAGCAATTATAATTTCAGGTTTTAGTTTGAATAAAGAGGGAACAACTAAGTTACAACTGAATGTATTTTATTAGCTTAAATAATAAGAAAGAGAAATATCTAGGTTACAACTAAATATATTTATTACTATAATGTTAATTTTGACGGTAGAACTCTGACTAACTATAATTATATTAAAATAATTTGTCGTACACAGGCCGCTGTGCAATCGCTGTGCGACCGTTATGTGCTGGATCAGCACTTATATGCAATGGTTCCTAACACGGCTCATATGGTGGTTCATAACACTGACATAGTTTCGAAATTATAGCATTATGAAGTTTTGATTATGCGTATATTATGTCATGTTAAATAATTATACATTGGTCATCCTAGGGGTCACGATTTTAAACCCGTGTTTTGAAAAAAAATTATTTGCATTTATTTTTTCACTTTTACCTAAACAGGAAAAAACAAATGCATTTTAGGTGTACCTAGAAACCCAACTATCGCTCGCTCGGACTATTTTAATCGAAAAATACCCCTCAATTTGTTATGCAAACTTGTCTACTAGAAATCTTACTCCGACTTTTTAAGTGTAGCATTTTTCCTGAAGGAAATCAGACTGAGGAGGTACTTTAGGGAGGTTATTTGATTTTCTCAGGAATTTTGTCAATAAATGTGATAATGAAATGAAATGATATGAAAAATATACGAAATGTAGGTATTAGTTAAAAAATATTACAGACTTATTTTTTTCTTGTGAACAACTTTTCTACCAGCAATTTTACTCCGATTATTTACAATGATAGCACTTTTTCTGAAAGAAAATCTGACTGGAAAAGTACTATAAGGAAGTCATTTTTCAATTTTCCCAAGAGTTTTCCCAGCAAATATGAAAACCCGGGAAAATCGAACGGCATTAAACTAATATATACAATCCAACTATTGTCGATTACACCATCCATAATCATCCAATTAACCTAACCTCTTCTAATTTTGTTCGAGACCTAAGTTTTCATTTTTCTTCAAACCTTTTCCCCAAATTGTATATTCAGGAGATTTGTTGTAAACCATATAAAATCTTTAGATTCATCCGGCGGATTTCATCCGAGTTCAAATTTGACTATGCGTTAAAAATCTTTTATTGCTCTTTAATCCGACCTATCCTGGAATATGGATCCGTCTTTTGGGACCCACATTCATCTATAGATACCACGGTGATTGAAAAGGTTCAACTAAAATTCCTGTCAACTGCTTACTTTTTATAGGTTCCTTGTCCTCCACATGATTATAAATCCATCCACAATTTTAAATTTACCCAGCTGTTCGTAGAAGATCTGCGAACTTATCATTTCTATCTAAACTTTTATCTAATTTAATCAACTGTCCAGCACTTCTTTCCCAAATCAATTTTTAAGTTCCATCTCGTTATACTAGATTTACTTATCCCTTTGTTATTCCATTATGCGTCTTGCTAATGAGGATCCCGCTTTTAACTATCCATAAACTATTTTTTCAGATGGAATTTTTATGATTATTTAGTTAATATTTTTATTACTGTTATTATTATTATTCTACCTAAACATCTGTAAATACATATTTTACAGAACAACGCCAATCGGTCAGTAGAGTAGGGTACATACAATATTTTACATATTAAAAAAAAATACAAATATTACAAAGCTCCTTCAATATTGTACGATATGTGACTGTCAGTATTTCGACAAATTCAGGATTTTAACTGTTAGGATTTTGACCAGGACCATTTCAAAACTATCGGTTGTTCTAAAAATTAAATAGCTATGATATATTATACATTAAAAGATTATACACATATTATCTACATTTATGTTTAATATTGTTTACATTTTTTTTTTTTAAAGGTAAACAAGTGGATTACCTATTTGCTGTGTAATAGGTACCGAGTAGGTCATTGTAATAACTGTGTTAAATTTAAATTCAATGATAACTCATTGCTTATGAAAAACTGTTTTGAGCAAAGACAAACATTATTTATAGCATATACTATTGAGTTAATTAAAATTAATCATTAATCATCATTTCTGGAGGTAAGTAGACCCTTCTATCTTTAGAATACAAATGTCTGTTGTAATTTGAATCATATTTCTTGGGTACATTTTCGATTGCTTGTTATCATACTTCCCAAGTCAAGGTGTATTTATCTATTAATAGGTACACCTTAATCAAGGTGTTAGATATAAAACAATATAATTTAGTTATATAAAAACCTTGCACCTTGATATCTACTTAGTACATAGCTATCCATTATGTATTGTCTATAGCTAAATGTGACTATTATCAATTATAATATTATCCGCCAGAACTAAATATGTGATCACAGCACTTTCGTCATCAAAAATAAAAACCTGATCAATCTATATTTATAATCAATACTAATATAGTAATATATAATAAAATATAAAAATATTATTTTCACATAACTTTATTTGAAATTAATAAATTATGACCTATTCATTTGTTTTAAATACAAAAGCCATTCCCTTTAATCATGGTATAATAAACTAGGTATATCAACAGTAATAACTGTGATTTATGTAAAAATATACATAAATAGGGGGTTTAAATATTATAATACATGAACTTATCACTAGTCTTTGATATATTATAAATATATACCTACTTTTAAAATTTCAGGGGGTTCCTAAAATTGTTTGGCCTCAGGCCCAAAATGATCTTAATCCGGGCTTGACACCATCATATTATTTATAGATATCAAATTTACAATAAAGTGTACCACAGATTAAAACATCTTATTTGTGATCACAGAATATTAAATCATTTTGATTTTTATCTTGTAAAAGTGTCATTATCAAATAGATCAACACTAGTATAATAAAAATATTGCATTAGGAATTATTTGAAAAAAAAAAAATTGTCATTATTTTCATCATCATCTGGTTAATAGTTCTCTGAATAACATGTTTGCCAATGAAGTAGGTACTAGGTATTGTACTTGTTATTACCTATAATTACTGCAAAGTTCAAATTATTCATTAGTAGGATCATTTTGGAAGTATTTTTATTGAAGGTATTAAATAAATAAAACAACCCAGACTACTTAAATATTTCCATTAATGTTAAGATGTATTTTTAAAATATTGAAATATAATTCAAAATGCTTCAATTTAATAATAAAAAGTGAATATATAACTTTAAATGTATTATGAATCAAACACTAAGTCAATTACAATTTTAAACATATATTTAAGTTTAATACATAAATATATTTCTACTTAGTAATCTATTCACTTGGTAAATATTTCCCAAACACAATTTTAAGATGAAATTGCAAATGTTTAAAAAACAAAATTAATAACAAAAAAAGATGTTATACAAAAAATAAAAATAATAATTTTAAACATTTAGATGTGTGCTAACTCCATAAATTCTAATTAACCAAGTATATCAAGATACATTATTAATAATTCATAATTAATTTGTCCTATGTATGTGACATAACTTTAAAAAAACATATCTAGGAATGTAGATAACATACTCATAAAAATGATGCAATATAATATAAGTCCTTAAAAAAAAAAAATATTATTGTAAAAGACATGTAGTAAATGGGTACATTTTTAACAACAATATTGTTCAAACATCTATATTCTATAATATAGATAATAATAATAAAGTTACATAAAATTCATTTTTAAAAACAACAAAAGTATAAGTACCTTGATGTATTATAATTTGTAACATTCAATTTCCAATAGTAATAATATTAACTAATAAATAAATAATGTAACATATTTTTCTAAAATTTGTTTTAATGTAGTCCAATAATATTCTACAACAGAATAATAAATAACTCACGATATAACCCTCCAGTATAAATAACTTGTCAAACATTTAATAACTTACAAAACAACATTTCTTTGAATAAAAATTTTAAATAAAAGTGTATGGTTTTAGCTAATAATTTAAGCCTGGTAATAACACAAGAAAATCAATCAATAGTTTTATAACATGCAAAATTAAAAGTTAAGTCAACAGACCCCATTTAATTTCAAGGTTTATTTGTTAACGTGTTAATAAATATTTGTTCAATAAATTATAGTGCCCATTAATTTTTTTTTTATGCAAACAAAGTCAAAAATCATATATTTGTATGATTAAAGGGATATTTTTGACTTGCTACTCATTAAATGAAATATTTCATAAAATATTAAATTATTTTGACCATATGTACATGTACATATGTACATGTACATTTATATAGTTCAATAATATTAAAAATATAAAACCAATTTAATAGACTTTGAGTAGATTATGTCTTTTTTAGTCACATACATTAGAAATAATAAAACATTCTAGAAGGAGGGGACACTGAACACTGATAGTAATAATAATAATTATAGTATATCTTACCAAATATTTAGCAAAAATGTGATATTTAAGTTAAATTGAGGAATTAAAATTATTAATAGGCCTCGGATTCCCTATCATTTGTAATAATTTTTTATAAATACAATTTTTTTTTTATGCAAAAAGATAATAAAGTCAATATAGCATTTTGTTCCAATTTTCAGAATTACATTGATGTATATAGTTTATATATTTTAAGATGGTATGCATTTTTATTTTAATTATAATTAAAATTAACAATACTACTATAAGTATAGTGCATGCATATTTTAAATTTTCCATTTTATTTAACACAAATTTATATAATAAATTAGTTCTATCTATTTTATATAACTTATAAATTTCTATATTTTTCTTTCAATTATGTGAATATTTAAATACTATATAAATAGTATTATGTATTATGGTAATAAAAAAATCCGAGACCTAATTATATTAGTAGTGTGGAATCATCAAACAGAAAAAGATTTTTATTTAAAAAAAATTGGAATCAAAATAGCTTGACAATCCACTAGCCAAATTTGAGTTCATAAAATTTCCATTCGCGAAAGCCATTATGTCCTCCAACTGGTGGGATGGCAATGTTCCAACAGTGGGTTCACTGCTGTTTGATAGAGCCATATCGCTGGGTAACCTGTTTTCAGCCAATGGAAATAATGGCAGAGTACACAAATGGTCCACTTTTTGTATCTTATCAGCATCTGGGTTTTTTGGTGAACCATAAACCACCACAGTTATTGATTTAAATCGACCATTCACAATCAATTTATTTGCCCATATCTAAAAAATAAATGTATATTTATTAATCTTAACTACTTATAAATTTAGCTACACATCAAATCCAAAAATGTTATCATCATTGTTCTTACATTGTTGCGACAAGTCATTTGTATGCGGTCAGTCTCGTCATAATCCATTTCACCCAAATATTCATATGAAGTAGCGTTTGGACGATTTAAGTTATTGCACATAAATTGAACTGGGAAATGAGATGGATCTGTATCTCTGAAATAAAAAAATAAAACTCATTACAAATTAGATATCTAAATAAAAATAGGAAAATATAGGAGATAGTATGAAGTAAATAGGTAAGACAATCATTATAAATATAAAATAAATAAAATATGTTCAGTATTTATAGCATAATAAATTTGAAATGAGTGTTGTAAAATAATTATTGTGGAAATTCAAATAAAATAAAAATGAAAGGCAAATTTGGCAATTAAAATGAAATATTCAATTTAAAAACAATTTCAAGAAATATGGGTGATATACTATATTGGAAATCTACTTTAGATACTTAAAAAGACTAAACAGGTAAGTACTTATTAAAAGTCTTAAATGAAAAATTTGCCAAATTAAATTATAATATATACATTTATATTAATAAACATTAAGCAGTTATAGTTGATTAATAAAGAAATTTACCCAAGCATTAATCCTCCACTTGGTGTGGTTAAGTACATTGACGGTGAAAGAATTTTGATATCCGTGAAATTTACAGGTGTTTCAAAACTTATAACACTATGAGCAGGTTCCTAGAAATAGTAATTAAAATATTTAGTTTATAAATTAGGTACCTAAGTATACAAAATAAGCATAAAATTAGGATAGTTTGATTTTAGGCATACTCCAATATCTTCTCAAAATCTTTAATCTACTTATACTAATAATTTATATTTATACTTAAGATTCTAAGTAAAGCAAATAAGCTATTAATAGTTCTACAATATTTTTTCCTTTTATTCTGTTGGAAAAAAATTACATTAGAAATAAAAAAAATCCCAAAAAGGTTTTTCCAGAACAGAACCGCTAAAGATAATTAAATACAAACAGTACTAGATATGAGTATATGAAGTTGATTTTACAAAATATGCATTTAACAAAAAAAAAAAAAACATCCAGAACAAATTTAAATGTCCAACATTATGAATTCTCAGCTATACTTGTAACATTTCTTGTTTTGTTATTTTTAACGCAAAGAATCCTACTTAATATTAGTTTAAAAACACAGTTTTACACTTTCAAATCCATCTTATAGAAATCAGGCCAGTCCAGAATGGTTTACAAAAATTGATATCAAAATTTAGAAGGTGCACCACAGCTTCCATTGTTCATTTTCCACAATATTGCTGTCCGCCATATGTTGACCGACTCCCCTTGAATACCAAGTACAATAACTCTGTTTCCGGACGTCAAATAGTCAAAAGAACACAACGTAATCTTCGAAAATCAGAATAATGGTACTTGGAGTTCAGAAGGATCGGTGTTGTGGCCATATACATCCATGATCCGCAACCTGATTACCATTTACCACAACAGCTAATGACCAACTGCGTCTGATACTTACCAAACTTTGGTTTTTGTCCATAAACCGTAAAATCCAATCTATATTTTTGTTTATTTTAATCATTATGACAATTTTGATTTGTAATATTAAATTTGTCTATTATTTATAGAATAATTTTAAAGAAAACACTTCTTGTTAAGATATTACAATTGTCTAATAATCAATAATTGTTATTAATAACCTATATTTACTTACTACTATATCTAATTATATTAAAATATAGATGGTACAATAGTTATAAAAATAAATAAATATAAAGGACTATGTTTTTTAATAATGATCATGTTAATGATAATTTTGAGATAAAAATTAAGGCTCAACCAGAAATTTCATCTCAGTTAACCCATGGTTAAAACATTTAATCAAATTTTTTTTTAATCAATAATTATCACATCCAGTAAAATAGTTTTATATATACCTTAATATTCACGTTTACAATTAAATAGATACAACTCAAATGGGCATGACCCATTTCATTTAATCGGGCATGTCCATTTAAATTGTTTGATAATAAATTGACAATAATTTTCAGAGATTACACACAGGAGTACCTATACTAATGCTGTATTGTACCAAATATTAACACAGAGAGAAACTCATCTGTCAGAAGTTAAAATAAATTCTGTTACATTCCATTATCAATGGTTTGCGTTACTTCTACTAGACTTATACATCTAGACGGAACATTTACCTCAAGGGCTGGGAGGTGTGTTTAGTATAAAACCTAGTGTGAGAGAACAAATTTGCACTCCGAGGACAGCCATTAAAATATACTTTGTTTACTATCTCACAAGTTTCTGTCCTCAAATTGAAACTCTGCCCACCGGAATGTCTTTTAATGCTGAATGTTTCTTTAGATGTATAAGTTTATGCTTTTACTGTTGGTACAGTATAACTATTTATTTGTTGACCAGTACTCTCGTAATAACTTAAATATAAAACAACACTCGTAAATTTAACACATGTTAAAACTTTAATTTGATAACCCTTAATTTATTACGAAAATTATCATTAGATATATATAAATATATAACACTAAATTTATCAATAGATACCGACAAGTTTGGTGCAACTAGGCATCATCACTAAATAAAGCATAAATAAATAGTAAGCCTAAACCAAAAATATAATTTTTTACACCCATTTTATTAACACTTTAATAAATATTAATAATTAATTCAATAATTATCGATATTTAAGTATAAATTATTATAGTTAGGTATCTATTCATTTATAGTTTAGTGTAAGGTAAAAACAATAGTGTATGCCAGTTTAGGCAATGTAAAATATTCAAAAGGCGTTAAAATTCTAAAAATTAAGTTACAATGTTAAAATTATAAATTTAAGATTTTTCATAATGAAATCCAATAGGTATTAACCAATTAGTAAAATAAAATCTACCTATCATTGCACAACACATTTTGAAGTTATAAGTATGGTGTTTGATTAAATCATTACTTTTGAATGGTTACACGTCTAGTTATATACTCTTAAAGTTTATGATTTCTTAATAACAATATTTAAATAAAGTTATATAAAATATTAGTAACATGTACTAATATAGTAGCATTCACTGGTGACTTTACCTTACCCACTCATGAGCTGTGTATAAATAGCAACAATGTTTCACACTACGTCGAGTTACTGGAGCAAGTTAAATTAGTAGACACATGGAATATGTCCACAAGAGTAAAGTATCGGACGTTGATTTATAAATCATATTACATAAGTAGAGACATTTTAAAGGATTAATTACTAAATATTTGTGTAGATATAAGTGATATAGAATATCACTAGATTAGTTCACGGCGATTATAAAAGTTAACCTAATTAAATTTACTATTCATTGCACTGAAATGTGTACTTGCTCACAGGTGTTAAGTTTAGATATTGTTTGTATGTATACTACCTATTTAAGTAAAAACAAATTTTGGTATTCAGCATAAAGTATTCAAGAGGTCATCGACCAGTGGAATATTAAAGAACGCTATTTTAACTATAGAATGAATGGGAACTACACATATTATATTTTATTATAAACTATTATAAAAGTAACCCAATAATTAAGAACATTTGTTGCAATCAGTGTCATTATAGATTTGTATAGAACTCCTAAAATAATGCCAATTGTAAAGATACCCGGTTTGTGGCACAATAGCCACACACATTTGCATACATAATCCATAGATACACATAAACGCACACACAGACACACAAACACAGCGCGTGTGTGCGCGCACACTCACAACTGACATTCATACACTGCAATATGCGCAAACGCGAAAAGACCAACTAAAGGAAAGGTCAAACGAAGCAAAGGAAACAATAGGCACATATGGATATATGAAGGGAACTGAGTAAATTATATGCATAGGTAAGAAGTAAAATTTGTATGGAAAAATGGCCACCGAGTGTCGTCGACCAGGTACACCGACCGAGGGAACGCCGCCGAAAAACGACAATAAACCCAATACCTACCTACTTATAAAATTAATACTTAACATAAGACACCGGACCCGTTATCTAAAACACACTTACCCGGGACGCCTGGAAGGAACGGAAAAACGTTTCCGCGGCGAGCAGCCGTTTCTTTTCGGTGGTTGGTTTACACATTTTTTTGGTTTTCGTCGTGTGCTGAAATACTTTTGATGCGGACGACGACTGGACGCTGGACGCTGAGTACGCTAAATGACGGGTGACGTACGCGGAGCGGAGCGTACGAGCGACGGCGGGTATGCGGTAGGCTAGCCGACGACGACGGGTCGTTGATTATCGGAAAACCACTACGACGCCGCAAGTGCGCGGCCGCGGACTACGGTGAAGCGCAAGCGTCCAACGACGGATCGGTCGAAACGTTTCGGATTCAACGGTGTCACGCGGCAGCTGTTCGACGAGTTTTTACGGTAAACGTTCGGCACCAATGGAACGTTCGACTACAATACTTTTCTGGTGTACGAGTTTGGGTAGCCGCGGTGGTAGTCGCTTACGGCGAGTGATGGGCTAACGGGTGGCGGCGATTTTATCGACCGGGGGGCTGCAGCCAAATTCACGGGAATCCGGGCCTGAACATGGGCGGCGGTGGGCCGGACAGCAGCAGGCGAGCTGCAGACGCGCAACAACCGTCGGGCGGGTACAGTATTACAATTTCAGCCAGAGCAGCGTCCCGGAATCGTATGCGCATATTCGGTATCGTTGACACGCCTGCATTCGTTTACACCCGTCGTCCACCGTACCGGTCTGTCGAAGGGGGGTAGAGGCCGCGTTAAGGAGCACGACGCTAGCGCGCGCGCAGTATAATATTGTTTAGAAAAACAATCGCATTACGTTTTAACGTATCACGCGCGTTATCACTAAATCGATACAGTACAATCTATCGCATTTACATTTGTGTACCAAATTTGTCAGTTTTCCACATTATATATTATATTTCAAGTTGATACTCGGTCACTGAACTACCGACTGAGAAAGTCAAATTATTTTTGTCAGTTTGTGATAAATTCCTCTCTTACGTAAGTACTAAGAAGGTTAATATTAATTTTTTTTTTTTTTAGCGATATTTGTATCGGCATAACTATTATTAATATTATTATCAGCGTTTAGACGGTGGTGATTTAGCAGTTTCATTGAGCGTAATATTGGAAAGGACGGAATAGTACATTCCATCAGCTCGCGATGGAATGGGCATATTTTGTCATGTATGAGAACGAAACTGTCCATGTGAATGCCCGTTTACACATTATTCTATACATTTTCTTTTAGTCATTTTAAAAATGTAGTCAATTCTCTATAAATTCAATCGAACACATTGCATTAATTTTTAATACCTATGTTTTTTTTTTTTTATAAATGCTCGTTCTCATTATCCAAGTGTTATTTAAAATTAATTCCTCACTAAACACTGTATCTTAATGACTCAGTATCACTATTATATTTATATAGTTTGTAATTTTTACCATTAAATATATTATACATATTATTATTACTTTTTTTTTCTGAAGAGGTAAAAGCCAGCCACTATTGCATTTAGATGTGCATTTCATCACTTGTAATTTTCATTTATTTAAACTGTGGGTTTTCAATATTGCTTCCTCATTTATTTTTTCTTATTATTTCCATTCTATTTACATGCACTGTTTTTGAATGTACAGGATAAAACTGCTTAATTATTACTGTATGAACAACATTATTGTTAAACAAAAAGAACATCTTAAGCCGTAACTCACTATGTATAAGACACTAGCACTTCAGCAGATATTATGTTTGTTAATGATATTTTGAACAACCTCAATGACTATCTGAATCTACTATCTAGAATTGGTTTTCATATACCATGTAGAACCATAAAGAATTAGATTTATTTGTAATTTCTATAATTATAGTGTGAACAGGGGAAATAGTACACTTTTTTCTTTTTATATATATGTCAGTATTGTTATTATAGTTGCTAATTTATAAAAAAGGTCTTTGTTTGTGAGCATAAATAAATAAATACATTTTTCACATATTTTGTTATTAGTTTATTTACATCAAATTTCTATTTTCACAAAAGGTACCTACCTTCATATAATTTGTAATATATTTCATTTGCCAGATCCAGTAAACATGAAGTGTTTCCCAGTTACTTTTATCCTAATGATTGTCATTGAGACGTTATTGGCCGCCGTCATGTCTGGTTTAAATTTCTACACTAATGGTCATGAAGTTGAAGAAAACCTTATTACTTCGAGACGGAAAGCCATTGCTGAACATGACCATAAAACTGATTCTGGTTATGGCGGCATCTTAAGTAAACCACCTGTGATTCTAATAACACTTACTCTAATTACTATTATCTATTTTTAATTTTTTCTTTCTATGTTTAAATAATACAATGATATCTAACAGCTAATTTTATTATTTTTTGTTCAGGTAATGAAGAAGAAATTGAAGCGTTGCAAAATTTAGAGCCATATGAAGTTAAGCCACACATGCAAACTATTCTTGAAAGTATTGATGAAAATAAAAATGGTTTTATTGAAAAAAATGAATTGGCAACAAGATTATTACAAACATATAAGTAAATATTCTTTAAATGGATTAAAATTCAATTCCTAAAACAATTAAAGAGAATTTTTTTTAAAAAATTAAAAATTATAACATTTTAAAAATTCAAAAGCATTTTAAAGGTTGTGAATGTGTTTTATAAACACATAAATGCCTAATTTTATTTTGTGAAGTTTATAGGTGTATAATGTCAAGTATATCATTTGCATTATTTCTCTTAAGTTGAGAGCATAAATATTATTTCTATTTTATGAATTTCATGTGTTATAAATTACTCTGTCAAACAATACATGTGTTTTTTTTTTATTATTATATTGAATTCCACTTATAAATATTATGTTCATTGAATTTAATTTACTTTTTAAACTTTTTAGTTCAGAAATATAAATTGTAACACATGTGTTTTGTATTGTGTATTGTTTCCTTCATTTTCAAATGTTTGACATAAATATCATAATATTAAATATGCACACATTTTTCACTTACTTTACATTTGTTCTTATTTAATTTTTAACTATATGGTTTTAACCAATTATTTTCTACTGTTATTTTCCATATTATTTGTATATATTAAAATTTATAATTACCTACAATTTGAATTGATAAATAATAATATATAATTATTTGTATAGCTAATTAAAAATAAAAATAACTATTATTTTACATATTTTTTAGAATAGAAATAAAAATTATATATTTTTCATTTTATTTAATTGACATATTAAACATTATAATATTATTATTATAATATTTATATTTATTTATTTAGTTTTATTATATTAATTAAACATTGTATTCATATTTCACATTAAAACATGTACAATAATTTAATCCATTAGGTACTAAACTTTTATAGTATACAGACCCCTGATGAAGGAATTTCTTATCAATTTCCTTTCTTTTTCTTTTTTTATTTTAACTTAATTTACTTGCATTTTAGAGATAGTTTCTGAATATCAGGTTCAATATTTTAAAACTTGTCAAAAATGTTTTTACGTAAATAACTGGAATTGTCAATAGTGCTGCCAGCCTCCAACGAGTGGTCACAGGCTCCAAAATTAAATTATTAATTCAAATATTAACACTTTTAAGAAAAATATTCAATTACATTTTCATCACATCTACATTTAACCACACAGATAATAATTAGTTAATTGAACTAATTTTTAAAAAAAACACTATGAGACACTCTGTATATAATATTTTTTCATAAATTTTAGTTGTTAAAATTACATTTCAACTAGTTTTAATTGCGTTTTCTGTTAGGAGACTGTCAATTGAAGAAGCTGATTCAGAATTTGAAACAAGCGATCTGGATGGAAATGGTTTTATTACATGGAAAGAATACATAGGAGATACATATGGTTCATCTGATGAAGACGAAGTAATTATTATTACTTATTTCACAATATGTTTTTATAGTAAAGTAAAAATGATTTAGGTATTTTATTTTTTAATAATATTACTGTTGACATTTCATTGTAATTTGAGAAAATTGTAATGCATACAATGTATAAATTAAAATGTATTTATTTTTAGGATACTCTAGAAGAAAAAGAATTATTTGTAGCGGCAGATGTTGATAAAGATGAGCAACTAAGTAAAATAGAATTCCGGTATTTTTATACACCTGAAGATTACCCACATATGAAACCATTTATAGTTAGTGGAATTATGAATAGATTTGATACAAATAAAGATGGAGAAGTTACATTTGATGAGTTCATAGCAGATAGAAGTAAGACAATTATATTGTATACATATTTGTTTATAAATTATTAAATTTTTTATCTAATACTTAAAATTTTAGTCCAGAATTATAACCAAAATGATATTCAAGAGGAAAAAGAAAAATTCACTCAACTTGACGTAAACAATAATCATATATTAGATGAAGACGAAATGCATATGTGGGCTTCACCAAACAATTTGTACGTATTCAAATAGTAATTTATTTTTTTATCACCATAAATTACTTAAGTTAAATTGTTAAGTTGCTTTACTATCATAGGCTTTTATATTAAAATTGATATTTTTTTCTAGCAAAGCAATTTTAAATCTTACAATGTTTATGTAAATATATAAAAATCACACTACTAAAAAAAAAAAAACTTGTTTGTGATTATTCTATAATAATTTTTTTTTAAAATATATCAATACAATGTATAATATATATATTATACACAATTTACAGCATGATAGCAGAGAGTGAAGCTGAAAATTTAATTTTTAAATCAGATAAAAATAAAGATGGCATACTTAGTTTTGAAGAAATAATGGACAATTATATGACATTTATTTCCCCAGATAGCGAAGGATATTACATATTTAGAGATGAATTATAGAACATCCTGTCTCTATAAGTTTGCTATAAATCATTTATTCAAAGTTGGTATTTTTTTAATTATTTTGATACATTCAACTAATTTATGTTTATCATTTGTCCACTATTCTGTACCATATAATTAAAAAAAATTATATATTGGATTTTTTTTCACCTAAAGTATCTTATATAATTTTTATGATAAATATTGTATTTTATAGATCATTAACATTTCTTTTTCTTTTTTTTTTTTTACTAACGATTTTTAGTTCCTTTAATAATTTGTTTATTAAACTGACTGATTTTCTTATATAATTAAACTTATATACCTATTTATAATATTTAAAGATCATTATTTTTATATTAGTATCGGTTTAAAATTTGATTTGTTGATTTATATCTGAATATTTTTGAAATATATCTAGTAATTTAATGTCCACACTTTTTATTATGTTCGTGAAATGAAAAGTGTACTTAAATTATTACATTGTATACAAAAAACTGCATGTGTTTATTTACCCTGATATCAAACATAATAATTACCAAGTCAAAATAGAAATAAGTCAAACCAATTTATTGTACTATTTTATGTCTATTGACATCTAATCAGTAATTCTATTATAAAATTACAAATAATTTATAAGACAACTAGTTTCTTAAATATCACTGAAATCATGTGTCATGTCACTTCTGTTTATATCTTAAGTCCTATTACTTTGGTGATCCCACTTAAGATACCTCAATGATATTCACCATATAATTAAAATATTTATAAAATGTTATATACTTTTCTTATAATATTTATAATAGATTTTATTATTAACTTATTTTATAAAATGTATTATTATATTATAAAGACATGGATCATACATCAAATTGTTAGTAAAATTATAAAAAAGAAAATATGACTCCCTAAGACAATACTTTTGTGTTATTTTCTTAAAGTCCTGAATAAATAAAATAATTTTTAATAATAATAATTAATTATGAATACTATAATTTTAAAATCTGATATTATTTTTTTCCAACTTGAATAACATTTTCTATAAGTGATATCATAATAAACAATGGGTTGTACAGTTCAAGTTTGGACTTTTGGTGTAAATTCGGTTTATTAATTAAGACCACTGAGTGCTTTTGGCTTGTGGTTTTTTAATTGATTATTTTTCAATTTTTATTTCTTTTAAAACACTTGTTAAAACTGCTTATATAATACCCCTACTAAACCAAGATGTGCTGATCTTTACACACAAAATTCAGTGTTTTTTTTTTTTTTTTTTTAATTTTTTTTAAAATGTATAACACTAAATTGAGAAACATAATGTATTGTTTGTGAGCCATAATTTATTTTTTTATCCTATGTAAATGCCATAGCTTACTAGTTATTCCTATTATAATTATTGTAACAAGTTGTATTTATTTTAAATATGTATATTTGTATCTAGTCTGGGTGAGTTACATAAATAATGTATTAGAAGAATAATCAATAAACTGCTTTATTTATTTTTGAATTATTGCATTTATTTATTGAAACTATTTTCATGCTATGAATGGCTTGTGTAAATTAGGTATCTTTTAGTGCTGAATAGAAGTTTGAATCTGCAATTATAATAAAAAGAAAAATGTATGAACAGTTTAGGTAAAATCTGTATTACCAATTGAATTTGGATATTAAACAAAATTATAATTTAATCAGGTATTTTTGATAAACTAAAAATACATAAAAGAAAAATGTAACAATTACTGGGTAATTTTAATGATAAAAATCTGACTGAATATTAGTCAATATTATAGGCTTGAAATAACTAAAACTGAAGCTTAAAATTAATTAATAATAGTTAATACCAAATTACCTAATTATATTCAAAAGGCTCTAAAATAAATAAATAAAAGTAGCTTTTTATTTTACATTTCTGGTAGTATTTAATCTGATCTCTGAGTCAGTAATTCCCAACATTTTTTAAACTATAGACCACCTATAATACAATTATATACTTGACATCTCTCCCAAAATGTTTTTAAAATAGAGTACAACTGTTATAGACTATAGCCTTTAGTTACAAAACTAAGTGATTTAATCTAACATCCCCTTTTATTATGATTTTCAAAATATTTGTTTAGCTAATTGCAAAACTCTCCAATAATCATTATATACAGGCATAATAGACTGTAATAATCTTGATTTCAAGAAATATTTTGCAAAAATAAGATCTTACAGTTTTTGTAGAATTTAATATTATATATTAAATCACATCAGTTATAACTTTGATATTGTGGTTTTAATGGTTTTATTCATATAAAATATTAAAGTTATAAAATAATTAGGTTACAAATGAGAGTTGAGAAAACTATGGTAAGAGTGTAAAACATGTAGATATAAGTATATATAATTTGATTGTTTAATTATAATTTTTTTTTAGGAACCGGTTGATTGAAGAATCTAATTTAGAATTTGAAAAAAATGATATTGATGGAGATGGGTTTGTTACATGGAGAGAATATACTGGTATAGGAGACACATATTGTTCATCAAATAATGATTTTAACACTGTAATTATTTTACAATACTAACCTAATGTTATAAAAACAAAAAAAAAATAAATTTCATTTATTTTACTTTGTAAAACACCTAAACAGTAATAATGCTTTTAAAATGTATTTTCTTGCCTGTCAGAAAACTAAATTTAAAAAATTGACACTATAATTAAAACAATTTATTTGAATATCATGTTTTAAATTTCTCTATACTATGATGAAACCATAATGAAAATAATAAAAAGAACAGATCTAATTTTTATTAATGACATTTTATTTATTTCAGGAATATTAAATCTTTATTTTATAGTTATAAATAATTGTCCATTTTAGGATACTAAAGAAGAAAAAGCATACTTTATAGCATCAGATATTGATAATGATGGACAACTAAGTCAAGTAGAATTCCAGTATTTTAATAGACCAGAAATTTATCCACACATGAAACCAACAATAATTAACTGCCTTATGAATATATATGATACAAATGAAGATGGTCAAATTACATCTGATGAGTTTATAGCTGGTGGATGTAAGAGAAATAAATCCCACTTTTTACTTACTCTAGATTTACTTGTTTAAAATTTCAGTGGTAGGACAAGATGAAGAAGAATTTACTGAGATAGATACTGACAAAAACCACATATTCAACAAAAATGAAGTGCACATGGCATGGGCTTCTTCAAAGGATGTAGTGTACGTATTCAAAAAATAATATAATAAGTTATACTTATAATACTACTTAAATTAATATGTTTTATAATATTATAAGAAATCTTAAAATTTAAAAATTATTCACTCATAAAAATATTAATTATGATTACTATAAAATGTATGAAACCAAATTTACAGCATGATAGCAGAGAGTGATGCTGAACATTTTATTTCTATATCAGATAAAAATAAAGATGGCCTACTTAGTTTTGAAGAAATATTGAACATAACATATACTTCTCAAAATGGTGAAGAATACAATACATTTAGAGAAGAATTATAGATTGACATTCTTTCTTTAAAAGTTTGCTATGAAATGTTTTTGTATTTAATTACAAAGTTGCAGGTATTTTTAAATATTATATGTTTTTTTTAAATCTGTAATTAATCGAGACTTGACATTTCCACTGCTCATTAAAATAAATTAAATAAATTAAACATCTTCAATGTCACAATATTTTTTTTTCGTTTGTAGTTGAAATTTTAAATTAAATTTGTTAAAAAAAACAAAAAAACATGTTCAAATATTTTATATCTAGTTTTTAAAATAAGGTATTTATTAATATATTCTATAAATGGCATTGCTATTATAATTGTAACCTAGCATCCTATATATTTTAAATGTTCTAGTCTTGCCTAGTCCCTTTATAAATGTAGTTAGCTAGTGGGTAGGTATTAGAAAATTAAATTTAAAATATAAATAAACTGATATATATATATATATATTTTATTTTTGAATTATTGTTTACTAGAATATGTTAAGTTTTTTTTTAAACTTTTACTTTTTTATATTGTTATAAATGTTACTAAACTAATGATTTACATTTTGTTGTTTTATGTAAGTAAATATTTAAACTAAGCTACTGAATACAATTAAGTTTTTGAAAGTACTAATCTAATGTTTTAATATCACAAGTTCCTATATAAATTATGGATTTAGTTTTTATATTTTCGAATAAGGTTAATGAACATAAATATATATATATATATTGTGATAATTTAAATAAACCTATTTAATTATTATTTTTTTAATATAACAAAGCTGCTGTTTACTAAATAATATAATTTTTGTAGTCAGGATATCAAATTGTAAATAGCAAAGTATAACTAATGTCTTATTTCAAAAATAAACTAAAATATAAGATAATGGATTGTTGCTGACAACCCATTGTCAATTATACCACTACGCTAATATTATGAATTTTATTTAAATTCTACTCTATTTGGCCTTTAGCTCATCATTGGCATTCAGCATAGGTTAATAAATTGTTGGAAAAAGTATATTATTATTCAGTCTTGTAAAAAATACTTTTCAAATTATATTTAAGAACAAATATAAATAATTTGCATGCATTTAAATACTTCTCAAATACTTTTTAAATTTAATTTAAAAGTTAATTCAAGTAGATTTGTAAAATTTATTTTAAAATGTCTAGTATAAAGTTCAATATTCAACTATTTAAGTATCGTACCTATTATTAGAACTTTACACTATTAACTTCATTTTATACTGAAAAATTAAAATAAACAAATTTTGCTGTGTACTAATTCTGAAATAATTTAATACTTTTAATTAATAAAATAAATTATAAATTTGTTATACCAAAATCAAAACTAAAATTGTATATTGTACTTAAGTAGAATATTTGATTTGAAGTATTAATATCAAAATATTTTTTGAAATCCTCCTGTGGTAGTTTAATTTCTGTATCATTTGTCACTAACTATAAATTTAGGTCTGTCAATTTATGACTTTGCTCTCCTCAGTTTATAATTTTTAATTTAATTTGTTTATAATTAGGGTTGTCATATGTCCTGGAAAACCAAGTCTGCAGGTGTCCCAAAAATAAATTTTCATAGGCCAATAATATGTCCTGGTTTTGATAAAAACTTAATATTATTTTATTTCAACATTTTTTCGAATAATAACTAATCGATACCAATAAGATTTTTTAACAAATACTGGATAAAACAATGATGAAAAAACCTTATATAGTATCCAAATACTTATTAGTTATTACTTGTATGTTTTATAACAATTTTTTTAGTAATTAAAAAAAATGAATGTGTTTTTTTTATAAATTTATAATCTATAAAAAAATTAATACAACTTTTGTTGTATACAAATCACCAGTTGACCTGTAACCCAACAAATCCACTCCTGATTATATATTAATTTATTTGAAAATTACAACCCTAGTGATAATATTATGATATTATTGTATTATTATATTTTCATAATACATACATGCATTTTTGGATATTTCCCAATCGGACAGTCCTTGTATGAGCTGCTGGATTAATATGAACCTACCTAATTTATAAAATTAATTAAATATTATATTGTACACTGTAAGATTGTTTTAAAAGTACTGACCAGTAATGTAACATTATAGAACTACTTATTGTCTCTAAAATTTCCTTAAAAAAATTGCTTAGAAAATTAAAAACAACTTTCTTAACTACCAACTAGATACAAAATTAATTCTACAAGTAATGTTTCTTGTCATTATTCCAGTGAAGTATACTTTTTAAGAAAAAAGTTGTTCAGATATAAAAAAAAAAATAGGAAGCGCTAATACTAGAGATGGAAGCGGCCACTGTTGTTGGTGAAAAGTTGGGAAGGTAAGATACATAAGGTTATTTCATTTATATCTGTAAACAATGATAAACCATTTTTGCGATTTTCATTTAAATTTGATTTCAAAAAGCTTATTAAAAAGAAAAGCTTCTGATGATTTTTGAAAATTTTACCACTTCTAGGTAACACCAATATAAGTATTATTACTAAGTTTCAAGTCTCTATGTGTATTTATAACCAAATTACAGAAAAAAAACTCCCAAAAATTAAAATTCCTTAAAAGCTCAAAATTTTTGGTGATGATAACGTAAGAAAGTAAATCAAAAAGACAACAAAAATAGAATTTTGTGATTTCTCGATAAAATCATTTTTTCTGGTAGAAAACGTCGTATTTTTATAAAATAATGAAATCGTGAAATTGTACGTTTTCCTATGTTTTTTCCCACTTAAGTGCTCTTATTTAAAAAACTGAATTTAAAATTTAAAAAGTGCCATCTAGACAACTTGAGCTTTCATAAAAGTTGCTACACGTAATAATCGGAACAAGTTTACTAGAAAAAAACGTGTTCAAAGACTAAAATAAAAAAGAAAACATCTTAATAAAACTAATACCCAGCTCCCTCGCTACGCTCGGTATCTAAAAGACTGACATACTTTGCACAATGGATGGGTCACTGTTGTAGATGAGAAGTTGGAAAGTTAGATTGGAAATTTTATGTATATCTGTAATTAATCATTGCTGACGAAAAATGATTCTGAGCAATATTTGTTTATACATATTATACCTATATATATATAAATATACCTATTTGCCCAACTTCCCACCTATAACAGTGGTCCACCTATTGTACTAAGTATGTCCCTCTTTTTAGAATTAATGTTTGCTATTTTTCTGTCTTTTTTCTTATTTAAACATTTTTATTTTTTTTAATATCTAAACAATTATATTTCTCTTTTTTTAAAAACATGGATTCGTTTGAAACTACCAATGATTTTCATTACAGATTTAATAAAATATTTCAAATTAAAAAATTAAAAAATGTAGCTTTAATCGAAAATTGGATTAATTGGAAAACCTATAATACTTGTAGGTTCGTCGGTAGATTAGGTACTTGCTTTCGAAAATATTTGAGTTCACGTTACTGGTGATAGTGCTAACCTAACCTAACCTTATCTGCTAGCATCGTCGTTAACATCACCGACAATGGACAATGGACATAATATCACATAATTGATCAATATTCTTTATCTTACTACTACCATTGTTGCTGCAACCTCCGCCGTTCAATTATCGTATACATAGTAGATATAGTATAAATACCTTTATCAATTTATTTAGTTGCCTCTACAATGCATTTCACGGCGCATTGTCGTTCCTATCGACTATACAGTAAGTGGCCTTTCTATTGCACTTGACACTCATTTTCGTACCAAATCCTATATTATACCTAAATAAGTCGGTTACGAATTGACCCTTCCAAATCTCCCGTCTTTTTTCGGATTCGTATAGGTATACTTACTTAGAATATGTAGTTATTACACTGGGTGATATAAAATCTTTTATTTTCATCATGAACATATTATGTTCATTATTCAAAGATTAATCATTTTGGTGAGGTCGAAATTCAAAAACCCATACGAACTACGACGGCTTACATTTTTTTCAGGGATAACTCAAAAATGGATGACTTATAAATTATGGATTTACGCTTACAAATGCTTACAAATAACTTACAAAATTTTAGTAAAATCGAAAATATTAAAGTTGTTGTACGACTATATTTCCGGACCTTGGTATGTCTTTGTTACTACATTTCGCGCAAGACAGTCAAAACAAATATACAGTAAAATTTCCATTAACGACCACTTCTGTGTAACGGTAATTTTTTTTTGTTCCTGTTAAGTGTTATACCTCTATAGGAGACCTCTAAAAGATAGTCACCTCAAAATAGCGATCATTATTTCCGTTCCCATCGGTGACCGTTATATGGAATTTCTACTGTATATTATATTATTATGTAGAGACTCAGTGGTAGTTCTTTATAGGTAATATTAATATTAAATAATATTTGAATTCACTTTCAAATACATCTGTGCATGCGTGTAGAACTATATAATTAATTCACCAAAAGAGTATTGTGTTATCGTAGTATGAATTAAACGTTTTACGGATAAAACATTTTAAACAAAAAAAACTAGCGTCGAAAAATGTAGTTTATATCATTATAATAACAATAATAAGAATAAAACGAGGAACTAAGAAAACCCTTTCTCACTTACTAAGTGTTTTTGAGAAGAAAACCGGTAATCTAATGTAATGATACATAGCCTAATAAATTACGGTAATTTACCAGCCTTGTTCTTGTCTAAATCCTGAATCCGATGGAAAATATGAATTCAAGATTTTTTGAAAACAAACTCTCTTACTAAACTATAGAGGACAACGCCGTCCTAAAACTTTTGATTTCTTCCTCAATTTTTTTCTCGCATCAATTTCAATTTTTAAATAGTCATGCATTATCTAACAGAACTACACATTCTGAAAAAAAAAAAAAATAATAAATCTGTAGCTTCTTCTTGTAAAGTAAGAAAATTTTAGATTGTTAGAAAATGATAGAATGTCAAACACATGGTGGTGTGAAACGAGAAACACTATAAAATACATTTGGTGTATGCGAAAAACACTCAGTATATAGTGTAAA